AAGGCACTATTAGCTAATGCCTGCTGTCCGGGAATAATGTTAACGGTACCTCCTTTTATTCTAAAATAAAAGGATTCTCAGAATCCTAGGTCCTTCTAAGTATGATCCAAATCAAATAGCTATTTCCCAAAAAGAAGCTCATATTCTAATGACGGTTCTAGTAAATTAGGACTGTTTTATCACCAAAAAATGACTTCTTTAAACTTCAAAAATGAAAACATGGACTCAATCACTATACTTCTAAAGCTGGCAACTTTCCTACCCTACAAGGTGACCAAATACTTCAATCATCATCTTAGTTACACATTCGGTATCAGGGTCCTAAGAAACCCAAAGAAATCAACATAATAATAACTCACCGTTTTCCAACTGTTCTTAGAAACAGTAAACACCCAAGAACTAACAGCACGCCTAAGAAGATCCAGATTTTCAAACAGGTGAGGTATCCTTACACCATGTACTTCCATGAAATACCAGTCTACACCTTTGGGGGGCACGGATAGGTGCGTGAGAAGCTGCAGGCAGGGGCGAGTGGGACACGGTGCTTCACAGAGCGTCACAAGGCCTACACCAGCCATGGGAAGAAGGAACCAACAACTGTGGCAGCAGCTGTGCTATCCGTCAGCTCCGGATACTAACCAAGTTTTTCCAAGCCGAGGACTAAAGATCACACATTCTGACAATGGACTCTTCAGAGCAAATGTGCAAGGGACCACTAACTGCAATGAACAGAGAAGGGCTTCCCTTCTCTGAACACAAACTACACGTCCAATCCGGACAGAGCTGCGTATTAAACCACAAGTTGTTGCCAGAAACTTAGTTAAAAACTGAATTGAATTTTGCTTAAAATAACATACTTTTTAAAACCTACTAACAACGAAACTAAAAACAGTCAAACCATGTCACTATAGGAATGTACTGTACAGCAATTATAAGTATAAACTAAGAAAATGTATTTTATATTCTACTTCTAAAAATACACAATACCAACAGTTCTCATTACATTTTTGTGAATCTTGCACATTTAGAAATGTGTTTTCCTGGAACAAGGGAGCGTCACCTGTAATCAGTACGTGTAAGTCATATGGCATCGTACCAGCTCATCTGTGGCGCTGACAGCTCTTATCCAGGCAAAACTCTACTCAGTGATGCCCTAATTCCCTCACAGTCAAGGTTCATACCAAACAGAAGACAGACAGACAGAAAAAGGACGCTCGGCAATGTTCTAACCGTGTCCACGCATGCTAGGAAGAAGTCAGTGTGTCCAAGTACTGTGGTCTGCAGGCCGTTGTATCCACTCACCCCCAAACACTACTAAGCTGGAAATGGCAAGCTGCACTAACCAACACACGGAGCATCACAAAAGAGGGGTCTACATGTACTCGTACACGTGTATGAATGTATATATACACACGTGGTTTCATCCTAAACTAGTGTAACAAATACACCCCCAAAATTGTGTGTTTTGTACTATTATGAACACTCCAGATTTGGTTACTTCGAGGTTTCATATCTTCTACAAAGGATGAGATGCAACATTAAACTGATGACTTAACAGGAAGTCATATAATCAACCATTCAGATGGAACCAGGTCTGGGCCAGGCCACACTCAATTTGAATACATTTCTCAGTCACTGAGATTTCTTGTACAATCTGCAGGTTAGTAGCACCACAAGAATGAGTTTAACAGAAACAGACCCACAGACACAGAATACAAACTAGTGGTTGCCAAGGGGGCGGGGGTGGGAAGGGACAGACTGGGAGTTCAAAATTGTAGAATAGATAAACAAGATTACACTGTATAGCACAGGGAAATAGACACAAGATCTTACGGTGGCTCACAGAGAAAAAAATGTGACAATGAATATATATATGTTCATGTATAACTGAAAAATTGTGCTCTTCACTGGAATTTGACACATTGTAAAATGATTATAAACCAATCAAAAATGTTAGAAAAAAATGAGTTTAAGCAGTATTAATGTTTCCAAAAGTGTATTTTACAGAACACCAGGCATTCCATGAGAAGTTAACTGTATTATATGAAAGAAAAAAGAAATACTAGGTTAACCATATTTTCTTTACTCAGGGCTTTGAATATGCAAATATGCAGTGTGCTTATTTATTGGGAGACACAGTATTGATAGCATTTTTCCAAGCTCATCTGCGCACAGAGCCTTCCAATCCAGTATACGTCGGGAAGCGTGTGTCTGCTGCACCCTCGCTGAAGGCCGCTGCTGGGCTGCAGACAGCACCGCCCGGATGCAGCTCCTCTGCACATCTGAACTGTACAAACATGAAGCCCTGGAAGGCTCATTTCACGTGCGAACTTGAAATGTGAATTCCAAACACTTAAAAACACCCGTCAGGAATCAGCACAGCACACAAGCCGCACGAGCCACTCGTTCCAGAAGCACTGCCTCCGGGTCACGAGGTGACCGGCCGTTCTCCTCAGGGGTGGTGTGCGTTTCACACGTTCTGCATTTCCCAAGACCTTCAAGAACGTACCCCAACCACAACATCTAGCCACTACCTCAAGAAATAAAAGGATGCACACCATCTTACGTGATTTATGTGATGCTGATGTAATTTACAGTGAAAATTTCAGCATTTGAAGAAGTGCCCCTAAATGACAATCAGGCCCCCAATCGAACTTTGGCCGGAAGAATGGTTTGACAGGAATTCTTTGTCTTACTCCCAGGGTCCAGATTGTGGTCTTGAAATACCATCTCCCACTAGAAAGACCCAGAGCTTCTTGAAGAAGCGTCTGGTTCCAGGTCTGGGCATGGAAATAATCCTGCCAAATGAGACATCAAGAAAATTACCAAAGACCACTAAGGTGAAAGGATGCAGGAACTGATCTGACAAACACTGTATGCTCGCACTCGCATGTGGACTCTTAAAATATTTAAAACATCAGTAACAACAACAAAACCCCGAAATAAGAAGAGATCAGATCTGTGGTCACCAGAAGTGGGGGCAGGGGGAGGAAGAACTGGATGAGGGTGGTCAGCAGGCGCAGGCCTCCAACTGCAAGACAAGGAAGGACTGGAGAAGTGATGCACCTGGTAACAGTCACACCCTAAGACTTCCCACCATGGCCAGGGCAGGGGGAGCGGTGACTCTCTCTTTTGCAGCTGCACGAAATGATGACGTTGAATAAACTTACCGTAGTCATCACTTCACTCTACATGTAAGATAAGTCTTTACGCTGACACCTTCAACTTACACAGTGCTGAATGCCACGCAGAGCTCAATAAAACTGGAAATAACATTCGCCAACCCAGACAACGTGCTATGTTTTCTCGGTTCCAGTAACAGGAGCTGTGCAAGCCATCAGCTTCCTGGCAGCTGAGTCGGCAAAAACAAAGTAAACTCCGAACAGGAAGCACCAACACGCGTCAAACCCTCCTTTCCCAGTAAGGACATGAGTAGTCACATTTTCTATTTTTGGTAAACATCTCAAAATCCCTTTAAAAAGTCATTTAAAAACACAATAAAGATTTGGTCAACACCTAACTACCACTCTGGCACTTTCTCACTTCATCCTGTCCCAAAAAGCAGCACACCGGAGCCTACACACTTACTCTGTGAGCTCACCCTGTGACGGGGCGGGCGCCGCCAGACAAGGCGGCAGCCACGCTGGCCTGCACCCTACCCGGGCCAGCACCTGTGTGCATCCGTATTATTCCATGTATTACGTCACACACACAACCTACTCACTCTCCAGGTCTCTCCCACAAACCACAGAAAAAATCCAAGTGTCCATTTCAAAGGGGAACCAAGAAAATGAGCAGAGCCCATTCTATACAGAGGCCGCTTTATAAACTCCACACATACACAACGCAGTTCCTCAAGCTGTATTTGCCTCATACTGATTAAAAAGCAACATTAAAATTATTCACTAAGGAATAAAACCGAATGTATTTTGACCAAAACTAATAGTGAGCAAAACACCTGGGAGTGGCCTAATTCAGAATAAACTGCTTGTCCATGTAAATACAGTATACAGGATATCTCCTGGTAATATAGTTGCCAAAAGTGGTTTATGTCTGTAATTTAATTATCTCATTCTAGAAAAGAACTTGAAGTGGTTTAAGTGACAAAATTGTGGTAGAATAAGATGATTCTTCTCCATCACACAGCTTGTAACAAAAAGCATTTTTCTTCCTGAATGAACAAAATGCTAGCAAATGAAGAGCACGTCCACATCGAGGTCCCAGAAAACCGAAGCACCGAGTCTTAGCAAGTGGAGCACTGCATCGCACACCCACCAAGGCCGACGCCAGAAGCAAGATGATGCAAAGGAACTGACGGTGTATCGCAGCTTCCAATCTTCTCTACTTACCAGTTTATCATTTTCATTGGGCATTTCAAATACACATCTCAATTTAGAATCCATTAATTCATCGGGTTTTGCCTCTTTCCACTAAAAACAAACAAAACCAAACAGTGAGATAGAAGAGATGTGATCGTGACAAACCAGCTTCACCTCAAGGGACAAGGAACGGGCTGGTGTGGCTGCCTGGAGCAGTCAAGGGGCCTGTGGCTGCAGGAGCCCCGCTGGCCGTACCCAGCAATGCCACAGGGCTTGTCATGTAACCCCAAGAGCTACTGTCGCCACCCGTTAAAGCCGCACTGACATCCCTGGCGGTCACAGGACTTTACTCTGAATAGCAGCACTTCTCAACTGTCCCTGAGAAACACTGCTTCACAGCCCCTTCATTCTTAAGTTAGTCAGGATCATCTGCGGTGAACAGATGTACAGGTTTTGTTAATTTAAAAAACTGGGTTTCTCAATCAACAACAAAACCCACAGTGTAAACAGTATCCCCCAGTGAACTCCGTTCAACTTCCGTACTCACCACAGCTTCCATATCTGAAAAGTTTGGTGGGGCGAAAATGGTCTGTACCATAAACTTGTGCTTACTCTTCTCGTTGGGGTCGTAGTCGAAAGGCTGCAGCATTACTGAGTAAGAGGAAAGGACACGTCACACTGACTCTGCATCTGTTGGCTTCTTATCGTTCCCTAACTTCCGAAGTGAAGAAAACCAGGAAGGATCCAAGAAGCCAAACTGGAAGACTTACAGTCAGGATCCAGAAGCAACTTTATGATTTCAAATTACTTTTAAATTGTCTACCTTTCTTATCTGCTAAGTCTTTAACAACCCATAAAATAAACAAATGGCTATTTAAAAAATAAACATCTATAATTACCCTCTCTAAACTTCAGCTTGAAAAATTTTCAAAACTTTGCCAACATTAACTATTACAATGCCTGTAAACTCAAAATCTAGTAAATTGTCTATTGAAACTACTTAAAATATAAATTTAGGCTTCACATTATTTAACAATAATATCTCTTAAAATTAGACAACAGGGGTATTTATAGGAGAAATTCTAGGCAACTTAAAAACTCACTACCATATTAATGTTCTGACATAACTAATTCTTCTAAAATAGATTTTAAATAAATACTTATTCAAGAGCTTATCAATTTGTTTAAAAATGATTCTAAGAAAATAAAATCTACAAAGAAACCATAGAGCCTCATGATTTCTAGTATTTTTCCAGCATCCTAATAATTACACTCAATTTTTTTCTAAGCACTTATGATTTCCAGTGGCCTACAAGAGGGTTTTTAGAGGCTCTATGTGGTTTTAAATTATGTAATATAAATCTAGTAAGAGGGTCTAAAAACTGAATCAGTAATTACACAAAACATATATACAGTATTGTGGAAATGACTCCCCTGCTGACGTTTACAGTATTTCTAAGATAGACTCAACACTTTCAAAAAGGTAAATGCAAATAAGCAAACGTCAGAAATATCAAATTACACAAATTCTTATTTCTAAGTTAAGCCTACGACGACATTCCCATTAACGTTCGTCATGGTTAAAAGAAACTTTCAAAGGCCAAATACACAGCAGCAGGAAACGCACACGACAGGGGGGCGGGATGAAGCCCAGAAAACACCCACTAAGCTCCTCACTGACACCCCTCCAGGCTGAGCCCTGGGAGCTGGGTGAAAAGAAAACCTACAGCTGCTTACGACTTTTGATAGTTATACTCTAAGGTTGCAGACCACGTAACAAGAGGAAGAGAATCTTAAAATACATATATAAATGGAGACAAATTAAAGGAGAGAATTCACAAAACAAAGTGCTACAAGGAGAGAGGAAAAAAGGAAGAGTATGTAGACAGAGAGTTGCCCAGGGAAGGCTGCAGAAGGAAGAGCGGCTGGAGTGACCCTCCTCTAGGAAGGGGCTGCATGGAAAACAGGAGCGCCAAGTCCCATGTGGCGGAGAGGAATCTGAGCGCACGCCATGGTGACAGTAGCAAGTGCATCTGGAGTTTTTAGTAAGTGAGATGGCTCAATACCAGGGGTATATGTGGGAGAAAGTGCTTGGAAAAGTATACACGTCCTTAAGAAACATTAATACAGTGAGACTTCAGCAAGCTAGAACCCTCAAAGGTCATTCTAAATAGTTTCATGGGTTCTGAGGGATAAAGCTGTCTGCACCAAAAACTATTTTTTAACCACATGGATAGAAATAATTCTGTCTTCTTCCAATTTACCTAAAGGCGTGAAGACTTAGAGAGCAACTTCCAGAACACACTTGCTCACTGCTTCCCCTTCCTATTTCTGCCTCCAGATCCCATGTGCTCACAGCTTCATCTTCTCAATTCCCAGCCATCTTGCCCATGAACTTATGGCTTGGACAAACCCATATGAAAGCAGCCTCCCAGCCACCACCAGACTGGCTAAAAACATCTTTTCTAGGGCCTCCCAGCTCCGAGTTTGGGGCTACAATTACTGAGGGAGGATTTAGTGCCACCAAGAACTCTGACTGTGGTCTGTCCTCGACTGCCTGCACAGTCGGGCCCCACTTCTAACTATCTCTGCCCTAGGCGCTCACTCTTTGTGTGACTTACTGTTTTTAATCTGCTGTGGGCCTGAAAACTAGAAAACAGATACGGAACTATTATATTCCCTTAGGAATACCTATCAGGACCACCCAGGCATGATTTTTCAAACATACGCGTCCAGGCTATGTCCCCAGAGATCCCGATCTGAGAGGCCCCCGAGTTTTTAAGACACAGTCGCAGAGGTGGGAATGACTGCTAGAAACCAAGGGTAAGTGGTCTCTGTGCGAAGCCAGAGAGGTTCTCCTGTCAGTAAGACACACTGTCATCCTCACTTCCTGCCTCCCAGCTGTGCTAGACCAGCTCCCTACAGGACCGTCAGGGGCGCCTGAGGGCAGAAAGACCAGCTTACAGGGCACAGTAGCACAGACTCCATGGCAGGAGTAAGCCGGCCATACGTGGAAGGAACCAAGAATCCTCCTTGCACTGTAAGTAAACACAAAACGGAGTAACAAAACTAAAGTTTTCAAGTGCCAAGGAGCTATTGGTATTAACAATAAAAGGCAGAAAGACTCATCTAATTTGATAACTATTGGCAAAAAAGAGGTACCAGTAACTATTACGCAAAAAATTCAGGATAATACCTCTCCAGCTGCATGCAATACGTAACAACAGCTGGATCCAAATGACAACTAGCAAATCCCCAAAATGACACATTTCAAAGATAAAATAATACGGGCAGAGGATGTGGTAGTGAACTGTAGACGCAAAGTGCTTACAAGCTGACCGCATACACGGCCACCTCAGGACAGGGTGAGAGGTTCTGCAGCAGCCTGCGCACAGTGAAAGAGCAGAGAGGCTTGGGGCGCGGCTTGTAGGCTACCTGAGACAGTCACGGTCAAGCCCGGGTCGATAATCCCACTGTTGGGCCGCACACAGTACCGACGGGGCGCTGTAGTCTTCACCTTGAAACACACTTTTCTATCCGATGGATTCCGCAACTTTAGATTTGTAGTGACTACATCTGTGAAGGGGCCTGTAAGGTTTAAAAACCAAAAAGAGGGGAAAAATTTAATTGGATTCACATACACACAAACACACACACAAAAGCAGAAATCAAAACTGAACACACATAACCTCAATTTTACATAACGTATGTACCGAAGTCTGTGTACATAAATACACCTGAGACTAGCAGTAGCTTCCCATAGGGGTAAACTCACAAAGGCGTTTTATTTTCTCCTTCATTTCTTATCAGATTTCCTAAAACTGCTACACGAACATTTTACTGTTTCTATCTAATAAAGTGCATTTTCAAACTTTCAATTTATGAAGGAATTCCACAGCGATACCGCCAGCGCGCTCTTACCGCATTACTGAAAGACGGGGGTTTTCCAGGGGTCCGCAGACCAGGGCCAACCTTCACACTCACGTGACTGAGCCGACCACAAAGACCTCTTCATCTGAGACACCACGCCAGTGACAAGGGCGCTCTCACTTCTCCTGAGTCGGGTCTAACTCCTTCACTCGTTTGCTCTCTCACTCACGTGTTTGCCCAGTATTTATCATGAGCACTGCTGCAAATGCCCTACATACAGGTTTGCTTAAGCTTTGGCTCTACACCCAGATAACACAAAGTTGCAAAACAAAGGACCCCAGAAGGTAATCCAGCCCTGCCTGAATTACCTAAATCCCAAACCAATTTTTCGTCAAGGGGGCGGGGGATGAGGAGGGGAACAAAGAGAACAGCTGTTTTTGTTCTTGGCTGAAGAAAGGCCTAAAGACAGACTCAACAGACTTAGACAATAAACTGAGTATCTGTTCATTTAGAGACAGAAGACAAACTTAAAAATACACCCCAATGAAGCAATAACCACACACTTCTGACTAACCCAAAAACAATTTTAAGTGGTTTCTAAAACAATTAATTTTAAGTTATATTAAAAAAAAAGAGTGAGAAGGCTGAAATCAAAGACAACTATTGTCAACGCTACTGTCCCTCATTTAAACAAATAGTAATAAGCATGTCTTTTAAAACTTTAAAATATTTACTGTATGGAGCCCAGACTGAGAAAATTCCTCAACTCTGCCAGAAAACGTTTCCCATTTTGTTGAATATTGGAAAATTACCTAAAACAGAGGCTTGAAGGGGAACAAACAGCCAAATGAAAAGCCATTATTAGGAAGAGAGCCAGGCTGAAAACAGCAGGTCTCCCAATGCAACACGGGGACGAGAAACAGACTGTAAGAGGCACTTGCTCCAAGCCCCTGGAAATGAATCAATTTTATCTTATGCTTAAAGCTTGTGAGTTGTAAGCTATTTTCTAACAAATAAAAATTTGGCAAGACATGGAAATAACCTAAATGTCCTTGGACAGATGACTGGATAAAGAAGTTGTGGTATATTCATACAATGGAATACAACTCAGCCATAAAAAAGAATAAAATGATGCCATTTGCAGCAACACAGATGGACCTAGAGATCATCATTCTAAGTGAACTAAGCCAGAAAGAGAAAGACAAATACCATATATCACTCATACGTGGAATCTAAAAAAAAGACGGACAAACTCACTTACAAAACAGAAACAGACTCACAGACATATCAAACAAACTTACGGTTACCGGGGGGAAAGGAGTGGGAAGGGATAAATTGGGAGTTTTGAGATTTGCAGATACTGACTGGTATATACAAAGTAGATAAACAAGTTCATACTGTGTAGCACAGGGAACTATGTTCGATATCTTGTAGTAGCTTATGGTGAAAAAGAATATGAAAATGAATGTATGTATGTTCACATATGACTGAAGCATTGTGCTGTACACCAGAAATTGACACAACATTGTAAACTGACTATACTTTAATAAAAAAAATACACATAACAAAAAAAAAAGAAATGAAAGCATATATCCATGCAAAGACCTGAACACAAATGTTCGTAACTGCTTTATTGGTAAAAGTCAAAAACTGAAAATCACCCAAATGTCCATTAATAAGTAAATGGATCAACAAACTAACATATCTATAAAAGGGAAGACTACTCAGAAATAATGAACAATTCAAAAAAAAATTTGGAACTGGGTTGAGAGAGAAGACAGAGATAAGAGAACATTAGAAGAAAACATCTAAAGGCAAGAGACCAGTTACAGAAAAACTTTTAATGTGAAATAGCCATTTAAAAAGTACGCACTTTAAGTAGATATAAACATATATGAACTATAACCTTTTGAATAGTTTGCTTTTACATAGGCAAGTTAATCACTCAACTTGTATATTATTTTATACTTTTTAATATGTTATATTTATACGCTGCTTCTTCAATCCCAGCGGCTTGCATATTCTGACAAGCAGCTAACGAACCCACCATACGCTGTCACAGAAGAGTAAAGGAGAAAGCTTCAACCTGCCCGTTTTGCTACATGAATTCACAAAATTGTTGGCTAGAGACACATTTTAAGTTAATACAACTAGGAGTCTTAAAGACGTACATTCCATTCCTCAACATTCTCAAAATCCATAAGTTACTACAGGTAACTGAGAATGTGTAAATTGTTATGGGACTATTTCAACTAGGACTTTAACATTAGCAGCAAGCATGGACTAAAAAAAACACCCCAATTTCTTAGTAAAATGACAAAACATTTTAAAAAATTCTAACAATCCTGTATTTTTAGAATGTAATTATGTAATAAGATTTTTAAACTTTTTAATTTTAAAATCGATTTTTTAATTCTCCCCAATTTTAGAGGAAATCCAAATAAGGTAAAATGACTGATTTTTTACACTGATTTAGAAAACCACGTGTCCACTTTCATTAACATATGAATTCTGAAATAGCACTTGAGCTTTACATTGCCCAGCTGGGCTTATAAATCTTAAATAACAGATTGTGGTCTTTCTAGACATAAAAATGCAAACTATCTAAAGATGAAGAAAATATGCCAAAAGAAAAAACTCCACCAATTCAAAACAAAATTCTTAACTGGATATGTTAACCTTATCAGCAAAATGTAAAATTACCTGTAAGAAACCCACCTAACAAATGAATTTGAGGTTTTCCACTCGCCTGTGTCCCTCTAGCCAAGCCTCTCAACGTAAGGGTTGCTCCCGGCAGACCGTTCTGCGCTGGAGCCCGTTTTCCAGGTTAAAATGGAAAATTAGCAAGTACTAATAACCGTTAGCCTAAGAGTAACCAGATTTAACAGACTGAAGAGTTCCTAGGAAGAAACATCTGGTCCACTTTTGTGCATCACAGGGTCTGATGAAAACTATATACTACCCCAGGAAAACATGCCATGCAGATATTCAGGACAGGTTTAGCTTGAATATTTCTGGAGGGTGAGGGTGAGACAAGGAGATTAGGTTGGGGGAGGGACTCCTGCAGCCTGCAGGTTAAGAAGACCTGATAAAACCTACCTTTACAGGCCCTCAAAAATAAGAGGAAAAGTTGTGTGATTTATCCACTACGACACAGCCACAGACCCCAGGGTAACCCGTCACTGTCAGGCACGTCTGTCTGACAGTGTGACTGGGCGGCGCTATTGGCGGGGGGGGGGGGGGATGGGGACGAGGCAGTGGGACCTCCTGCAATAGCAGGGCAGACCCATGCAATCAAGTTATTATGCCCCCTCCCACCAAATGTTCAAATACCCCTCCAGGAACTCATACTGGTGAAAAATCTCTTTTCCAGAGATACATCTACTGTGTACAACAGGAAAAGTTTGTTCTCTTTCTCCAAAACGTTAAAAGGTGGGTTTACCAGCACAAAAACTATTCTACCAACAGCAATGTCACTCAGGACACTCGAATCACTGCAACATATCTCTTTCAGTCATTCACATGATTCTACTTATATGCATAAATATTCTTCTTTTGCCCTTATTTCAAAACGTTAAAGAAAACCACAGTCGGCCTCTATTCAGATAACTCTTGCCTGCTCTTAAATTCAAACCCAGTCGCTGAAATTAGGTTACAAGCATCTGGTCACTTCAGTGCAGTCACACCCAAACACATCCAAGTGTACACTTCATTACAAACTTACTTTATTTCTCCTTTATGTTGTAGTTAGGGCACTGTATTAGTATTTCAATTACGTACCTTGGTAGGTAATTTTAAACATGAATTTTCTTTCAGGATGGTAAAGGAGGCATTACAAAATATAAAATGTTAAAATGAGACAGTGTGTCTAATGAGGTTAAAAACCACTGCTTTATATCAATAATCTTCTGCTCTATCCCCTGCAATACGTGCGTGGTTAAACCATTAAGAACGAGTAAATGGTTACCATAAAAAACAAGTTAACTCTGAAGGGAAAGGAGGTACAAGAGGGAGAGGGTACAAGAAGGCCTTTCGCAGTGTAGGCCAAGTTCTATTTCTTACCCTGAGCACTAATTACTTTTTGATAATTCTTTAAACTGTATACATTTTTGTTATGAAAAATAATAAAGGCTTTTTTCTTTTTTAAGAAAAACTGACCTTTGACGTAAACTAAAAAAAAAAAAAACAAAACCGAAAAAACAGTGAAAAAAAATGAGAAAGTGAAACATTTAAAGCAATTTATATAAAAAACAAATACTCATGTTTGGAGGATTTCTGAAACTTAATCCCTGTAAGTGAGGAAAACCCTGCTGTTTGTCCAATATAAATGCTTAGTTTAACATTTAGAAATAATCTTAAAATGGACTGTTGCAGGAATTATCTGACAGGAAACTAGTCACCAATCACAGGTACCATCTGATACATAACTTCCTATTTTATAGATGAAATCTCACTGTTTATATGTAAAAACAGTCCACATAAAACAAAATTCCGCACAATACAGGTTACATTTACTTGCACTCTTTTACTGAAAGAAAAGAAGAAAAGAAAAGAAAAGAAAAGGAAAGGAAAGAAAAGAAAGAAAAAAAGGAAGAAAGAAAGAAAAGTTCTGTTAGCTACACGGCTGCCCTGGTTTAGCCTCCCTTTTCAGTAGCCAGGACCCTTCCTGCCACTAAGTATTCTGTCCTAACTCTAAGACGCTGTCACTCCAGTAAGGC